CAAAACACTGACAATTATTTCAAGTATTTAAAGTTTATTGTTATTTGTAAATGGACCACTGGACATATAATTCTCATTTGCACATAAAACACTTATAAATACACAACAAATGCAAGAAAACAGTAATAAAAGTTTTAAAATTTTACAGGCCAGATTATTTTTAATGAATCTATATTAACAAAAAAAGTCGTTATTGAGGCATTTCATTGTTTTAAAATTAAAACTCCATCCACTTTGTCCTCCTTTGGGCACCGATTAGATTTTCCATCACCAACAGATCTTTACAAAGAGCTCAAGAACTCCTTCACCTGAAAAAGAGTCAAGATGTTAGCATTAGCGAATACCAACATCATGGCAATCTTATCTTTCATTCTCTTTGTTTAGTTCCAACTTCCGTCCTTGGTGACGCCAACTCAACAAGTTGGTTTATGTCATTTGTGCAAAGCATTGTATGTGTGACCGGGCCCATTTCTTGCTAATGACTTTCAAGGGGAGTGCAATCTCTAAAAAAGCACCGGTGTTTACCATCAACGTGAAACTGCTACATAAGCAGCTCTTCAGGCCCTCATTTCCATAAGTAAAACCTTAGTGTGTGAATGTCAGAATCTGAAAGATCACACTCAGCACAGGGCATGGAACTTCCTCAAAAACACATTTGAAACACTTGATTTCAGCCTACTTATTTTCCTCAATGTAGTATACTAATGTTGTAAAGGTTCACAGTAAGTTTGTACTTCCACAAGTAGTAACCATGCCAATTTCTTTTGTACAGAAAAAACTAAACAAAAAAAACAACAAACAGGAATCAAAATTCAGTAAAATACCATATACCACAATATAAAAAGCAAAACATTTATTCAAAATCATCAATCTCATCATCTCATCAACTTGATTTCTATTAGAAGTTTTTCCCCCATTGTTGGAAAATGACTTTTGAAATTTGAGTTTGCTTTTTAATGCCGTCATTGCAGCATTTTAATGTTGCAGCTGGTGGAGCCATTTTTAGCTACTTTAAGGTTGAATAGTTTTATGTAAAGCAATGCTTTATAGTGGTGACCTCATCTTTTATTTATATAGAAGATACATTTGGTAACTAGTGACTACAGCTGTCAAAAAAAAAGTTAATGGACAAAAAGTGGACAAAAGTACAATATTTCTCTCTGAAAACTAAAGTAGAATTATTAAGTACCATGAAATGGGAACACAAGTACAAGTAATCCAGCTTATAGGGTTATAATATACCTCTAAATTACCCCCTCAGTGGTATTTATAGTAGGTAAAAAAGCCAACGGGATGTTTGGCTCACGTAAATTTCCCCTCAACTTCCTGTTGGATGGAGACCAAGCATTATTTGATTAGGCTAGTAAAAAAAGGCTTAACCGTCACTTACCTTCTCCATCATGTCAGCAGTCTTTGTTTTATTCCCCTTAAAGTCCTCATTCACATCTATGGTCAAGACTGGCACGTCATTGAGGTACTCAAACTCCATGCTGCGGGCCAGAGGGGACATGGGAGACAATTAGCGATGCTTAAAAAATTCACATCCAGGAGCATCCTTTTTCCTGTGGCTTAACTGATCTATTTCATGGTGAAGCTTTTATCTTTGTAAGAAAATCTTGTGTACACAATGGAAGCCAAACAACCCATTTCCGGCCTCATCCATTTCTTAAACACATCACTGTGGTAGATGCAGATCACATGTGTCCAAAACTGCTTCGGCTTCTTAGATGCCCCTCAGGTTATTGCATTAATGGGGACTTTTTCTAATGGCCGAGATCAGTCAGATAACACCCTTTTCTTCTATAATACAAATACATCGTTTGTCCTCGCAGAACTGCATGCGGTTTCTGACGCAAACGTGCAATAAAAGTCTGCGTGCATGCGTTTGTGTGGGCTCACGTCATGGTCTTGTGCTGCAGCCAGCTCTCGTGCTTGAAGTGGAGCTTCTCCAGATACTCCAGAGGGATGTCTTGCTCTTCTTCTCTGCCTCTCAGGTGCAACCGCTCTAAACATCTCTACGAACACACACACACACACACACTACCCTTTTTTGTCATATAGTTAGTTTATGGCTTGCATTACTTTTTCATGGCTGGCGTTACGTTTTAGTATGGAGTTAGATGAACACGCGGAGTAATCAAAGGAATATGGTTGGTTAAGTAGTCATACGAGATGGGCGAGTTCAGACACGTAGGCAGCAAAGGGCCACAGGTCGGCATTTCGAACCCAGGCGCTGCTCTAACGACTGAGCTAACGGTGCCCCAAAGTAGTTATCATAAGGAGGAAAAAAATGAAATGGCAGCGAAACGAAAAACAAATATGTCACCCAATTCCTTCTGGTGTGTGTGTGTGGTGTGTGTGTGTGGTG